TAGTTCACCTGAAATAGATTCACTAGCCTTCGGAACACTTTCTTTGGAATCACTTTCTGTAGGCTCGCTCTCAGACTTCTGAAAGACATTATAAATGAAGTTATGTTGCAATAAAACTTTGCAATAAAGCTTCAATTTCGAACTTGGCGGAGTCATACCTTTGCAGAATCCTGCTTCGTTTGAAGCCCTGCTCGACGCTTTTGCTCTTCGATATCTCTTTTGAGCCTTTCAATTTCTTCATCTTGCTGCTTTTTCGAAACATCAGGACTTGGCGTTCGAGGACTAAATATACGGCGGAAAGTTTAAAGTCGAAAAACATTGGGTTGTTTAATTTTATTGGGCCAGATTCAGGGAAAAATCTTCAGAACACACCCATTTCTAGGACCCGATCGCCCTCCTGCGGATCCTGGTTGAGGCCGTGATGAAGGTGCTAAAAGGAAAATACGGTAATTAGTTCTCGAAATTGAAATAAGAAGTGATGAAAAAAATATACATGGCGAAGGTGTCCGGGGTATTCTGTCTCTTTCCGCTGGTGGAGGCCCAAGTGAAGGTGCGCTAAAACAGCAGAATATCATGACATGAAGACAACGGCATCATCGCCGCTAAGTGCAATACAGAGTTGTTCGCTGCAGATGATGAGGCGCGTCCGGGTGCGGGGGAAGAGGGGGGGGGAAATTGAGAGGTGAGGAGATAGTTTGGCGCACCACCAGCCTATTTTTTTCTCTCCACAAGCAAAAAAAAACACCATCATATCGTTCACATCAGTCGTTTTCATCAGCTGCCGCTTGCCCGCTCCAGCGATTGGTGGAGAGCGGGCTGGTGGCGCGCCAAACCCAGCTTCACTGACACGCCCCTTGATTGGCAGCGAACACGACTGTACAACCCTCACCCTCATAGCCACGATGAGGAAACAAAGCAGCTTAAGAAACAAGACGTCAACGAAAGCAAAACTTCTACTTCACAAGAGCTAATAAGCTTGCGTGAGGGGTATCTAAAGGACTCCCTGTGCAAGAGGCCTCACGCCATCAAAACAGAATTTCCACCTTTTAAAATAGTTCACCAACCACTTCTCCCAATCTCTCCCACTTTAGTTTTGAGGCAAGTCCTCATCTTCGAGGCGAAGATAACAGTTTTGCACGGGTAGGCTAAACTCTCTATAGGTCCCCCTAATTACTGGTGTTTTTGCGCCCTTTCTAATTATTGGCGTTTTTGCGCCCTTTCTTAATCTATTTTTTGATTAGGTGCGAGTCGGGTAAAGGCAGTAGCACGATAAATTCTCCAAGACGAGTAGGACTAATACGCCTGGCAGGACGGAATTCCGCGACCCTGAGCAGGCGCTGCATAATGCCTTTCCAAGGGAGGTGCCCTTATAAGGGCCCTATCAAGCCAACATACCGACCCAAACGCCCGCCCGCCCACAAATGGACGACCGTTCCTGACGCTCTAATCGATTCATTTGCTAAGCAAATTATGAAGCGAAGGGATTGGTATGAAGCGGCCGTGATGCTGCATGCATATATGGGTACACATACGTATCTTCGGTAGCGGTGATTGGTAAGATGCCTACGGGAAACTCGTCCGAAATGTTCGATTTCTAACACATCCGACCGAGCGGAGGCCTCCCTTATCCTTCCGCAGCGAGCTTTTAACCCCCGTTTCACCCGTTTCTTCTCGCCACTTTCCCCGTTTATCATTAGCCGCCCCCTCTACTTGCACCTTCCTTGGCAGTGCCGCACCCCAGCCACCCAAACTACATCGTGGCAACTGCCCCTTTAAGAGGGCCCGACCTATACCACATAACTTCCCGAACACTCCTCGAGTAGATACAGCGCCCGCCAGACGACTCCTGCCACAGCCCTTGTCAAAGTTTCAAGGCCATCACCCAAGCTTCAGTTTACCATCGCCTCCCCATCATACGTCCCTTGCTCGACCTCGCCAGCATCGCAAGACCTGCCCGCATTCGAAGACGACGTTGTTAGGCGAGATTGGGCCGCGCCCCCCCCCGATACGTCCAGTCCATGATGGGGAGCGCGATCGCAATGAGCCGCATAACCTCCGGTCCGGGAACGACGTGACGCGGGAGGATGGCGCGGCCGGCCAGGCGTACACCTGTGTCGTGCTCGCCTTCCAACAACTACGTGCGACTGTTTTTTATGCCTGCTCACGCGCTGCACGCCCTCCGCACTGCTTAGTGCCAAGACAAGCCAATTATCGTCCTGAGGAAAGAACTTTCCACTTCTTTATAGTTTTACAGGACCTTTACAAACTATACGCGGAAATTGCCCGGTATACTGACGAGCTTCTGAATGATCCCCTCCCCCCAACCTCTACTTGCCAGCGCTAATAATTACGAGCTGATCAATAGAGACGCCTTGATTGCGTTATTGAAAGCAGTATGCTCCTTTGTCAAAAATACAAAAAATAGATAGCAAACTATTGTCAAAAATACAAAAAATAGATAGCAAACTACCTCTTCGAGTCATTTGCCTGCCCCATCTGACTGGGAAGTGGCGCAAATGTTCCCAAAAAAGGGCGTGGAGGAGGAAGTGCACCTTAACAAAAATTTGTAATCATGGCAGTCTAAAAAACTTGGAGTATAAAAACATCAAGGTAAGGAGGCTGTTCCGCATACCAGTTCCAACAGTGGTCACATAATCCGGCTGACCATCCTGAAACCATAGTTCTCACTCAATGAAAGGTCATTCACTAAAGGGACAGGAGATCAACGACTCACCGTACGTTTTGACTGTTTTTTTGGAGTCGCAGAAGGTACCTGACCAGGACCAGGAGGTACAGGTCGAGCGGGCGGTGCACCAGGGAAAAACGATTTTTGTTGTTCAGAGGGCTGTGCTGATCCTTGATTCATGAATTTAGGCGGGGGAGGAAGACATGGAGGCATTCTCGGAGGTGGAGGCATGCCTGGATGGGGAGGCATACCAGGAGGGAACATGCCAGGTGGTGGAAGCATGCCAGGAGGTGGTAGCATTCCTGGAGGAGGAATAGGTCGTGGCATGCCAGCTATTGGTGGTGGCGGGATTGGCATTCTTGGCATGTTCGGTGGTGGACAGTTCAAGAACGATGGTGGAGGAAGAACTGGCGGTGGCATGCCTGGAGGCGGACGGAGCATACCAGGAGGCATAGGTGGATGCGGAACCTGAGACTGTGCACTGCTTGTTGTCGCACCTGAAAGCGAGTACTCGAAAAGGATTCAGGAAAGACGCGGTCAACAAAAACGTTACGATTCTCTCGAGTCTTACCAGAGTTCGAAGGTTGGGGAAGGGTTGGCGTAAGAGGAGCCTGAGCGGCAGATGTAGATGGTGGAGGCGGTGGTGGAGGAGGCGGCGGAGGAACAGCTATGTTCAGCCGACCTGAAGTATGTATATTAGTCACAGTCTTGTTCGCTGTATATGCTGGCTTCCATCATACAGTATTATTGACTGAGAAAGAAAAAAAATCGCGCTGGCGCCGCGCCAAACCCGTCCCCCGTGACACCCCATCATACGCAGCTGTCTGATGGGCTGAGGAAGAAGACACAAAATGCTGTCCTTTAAACAAAATATGATGTGAATTCACACGCTCAGCCACTTGCCATTTGCTCAGGTAAAAAAGTT